AGTCTGCAGCTTGACCTGCCGCCCCTCAGTCTGCTCCTAGGTCTGCTGCCCCGCCAGCTCTTCTTCCTACACATCAGTCTATATCATCTTCTTCTATTCCTATTGGTTCTATCAAGGTTGTTTTGCGCCCCCCCCCCTTTCCAATACACAACCTATGCAGACTCGGCCCAAGTCTAAACCTGTTTGTTATACTGCACACCATCCCATCCCCTCAGATGTTGAGCCATCTTCTTACTCCTTGGCTCTTACCTCTCCCGTTTGGTTTCAAGCTATGTTGGATAGGCACTCCAGATAATCACAAGAATAGAGTCATAGCCTAGACTGTGGTATACTATGCTACATAGGATCATAAACCATAACAGACTTAGTTAGAGTTAGTTAGTTAGGTTGTTAAGCATGGCTTCTGATATGTATATATACAGTTGTAAATGCACTCAATGGAATTAATCAAGAATATACTTTCTCAATATTTCTTCAAACATATAGACAAATAAATGAGTACTATAATTATTCAAATTATTATTCTTCTTATAGACAAAAAGAAAAAAATTTGGAATAATTACCCTAAAAGTTTCAAATTTAGACTTATAGCTCCAGTGCCTTAAAATGTAAACAAAAATTTCACTGAACATTTAGTACAAACCCTTAAAATAGAATTTAAAAAAAAAAAAAAAACAAGCATTATAAGCACCCATAAATTGCACCAAACAAAACATGTATCAAGGTCAAATACTCAAATATGGGATACACAAGAAGATGGGGTTTGTATAGAGTAGAATAACTACGTAAAAAATAATGGGATGGCTATTAAACTTTTAATATCATAACCCAGCTCTGTTTATGTTTTAATGATCGATTAAATTCGTCTAATAGTAAAGAGCTGCATGGTATTTAAGTTAAAACTAATCAACAAGAATGGAATATATTATAGCCTGTTTACTAACTGATCACATTTTTCATGGTGACCAAGTGATCACTTATGGGGTTAAATATAATTCTTTCTTTTTGTGTGTGCGCGCGCTCACAAGCGGTAGGTAGGATATTAATTACAAATATAAGAAAAATTATATCAAACTGGTCAAGACATAGCTAGAAACCCATCAGCCATCAAGCCCAACAATCACTATAAGAAACAGCCAAAACTTAAAAAGAAATAAACTACATACAACTCTCATAATTGGAGAGAAAATATAATCAATCTTTGTCATTGACTAGGATGGACTCCCTGGACATTGGGGTGTGACTCAATGGTCTAGTAGCCACACCTTAAGGTGCGGTGAGTGAGAGACCAGGGTTTAAAACTGATGGAGCAGCAACAAATCCTTTAGTTGTAATCTAAAGGTACTAACATACTAACAAAAATACTAATATTAAGGTGTGGTGAGTGAGAGGCCAGGGTTTAAAACTGATGGAGCAGCGACAAATCCTTTAGTTGTAATCTAAAGGTACTAACATACTAACGTTATCTTTGACCCAAAACAAAAATACTAAGATTGACCGCCCTTGCTGTCATGAATAGCAGTATACAAAAGTGGGCAATTGAGCTATCACAATTAGTTAAACTTCTACAACCCATTTGTACCAAAAAAATAAATATTATAGTTCTGACTTTTTTTCGTAACTTTTTATTTATTTTTATAAAGTGAATACCTAGTGTGTTTGACTTTTTGATGACCTTTTAGCAATTTTTTTAGTTTATTGACTTTTTAGCCAAAAAACTTAGGGTAAATTACAACAGTGGTCCTTATAGTTTATCCTTTTGTGTCAATTTAGTCCATCTGCTTTCAATTGCATTAATTGGATTAATTACACTTTTCACCCTATAGTTTGATCTAAAATTTCACTTTATTCCCTATAGTTTCAATTTGAACAATTGGGTCCTTCACTGAAGTCTAATTTCAATTAGGTCTTTCCGTTTAATTGATGTATATATACAGTTGTAAATGCACTCAATGGAATTAATCAAGAATATACTTTCTCAATATTTCTTCAAACATATAGACAAATAAATGAGTACTATAATTATTCAAATTATTATTCTTCTTATAGACAAAAAAGAAAAAAATTTGGAATAATTACCCTAAAAGTTTCAAATTTAGACTTATAGCTCCAGTGCCTTAAAATGTAAACAAAAATTTCACTGAACATTTAGTACAAACCCTTAAAATAGAATTTAAAAAAAAAAATAAAAAAACAAGCATTATAAGCACCCATAAATTGCACCAAACAAAACATGTATCAAGGTCAAATACTCAAATATGGGATACACAAGAAGATGGGGTTTGTATAGAGTAGAATAACTACGTAAAAAATAATGGGATGGCTATTAAACTTTTAATATCATAACCCAGCTCTGTTTATGTTTTAATGATCGATTAAATTCGTCTAATAGTAAAGAGCTGCATGGTATTTAAGTTAAAACTAATCAACAGGAATGGAATATATTATAGTCTGTTGACTAACTGATCACATTTTTCATGGTGACCAAGTGATCACTAATGGGGTTCAATATAATTCTTTCTTTTTGTGTGTGCAAGTGGTAGGTAGGATATTAATTACAAATATAAGAAAAATTATATCAAACTGGTCAAGACATAGCTAGAAACCCATCAGCCATCAAGCCCAACAATCACTATAAGAAACAGCCAAAACTTAAAAAGAAATAAACTACATACAACTCTCATAATTGGAGAGAAAATATAATCAATCTTTGTCATTGACTAGGATGGACTCCCTGGACATTGGGGTGTGACTCAATGGTCTAGTAGCCACACCTTAAGGTGCGGTGAGTGAGAGGCCAGGGTTTAAAACTGATGGAGCAACGACAAATCCTTTAGTTGTAATCTAAAGGTACTAACATATTAACAAAAATACTAATATTAAGGTGTGGTGAGTGAGAGGCCAGGGTTTAAAACTGATGGAGCAGCGACAAATCCTTTAGTTGTAATCTAAAGGTACTAACATACTAACGTTATCTTTGACCCAAAACAAAAATACTAAGATTGACCGCCCTTGCTGTCATGAATAGCAGTATACAAAAGTGGGCAATTGAGCTATCACAATTAGTTAAAATTCTACAACCCATTTGTACCAAAAAAATAAATATTATAGTTCTGACTTTTTTCGTAACTTTTTATTTATTTTTATAAAGTGAATACCTAGTGTGTTTGACTTTTTAATGACCTTTTAGCAATTTTTTTAGTTTATTGACTTTTTAGCCAAAAAACTTAGGGTAAATTACAACAGTGGTCCTCATAGTTTATCCTTTTGTGTCAATTTAGTCCATCTGCTTTCAATTGCATTAATTGGATTAATTACACTTTTCACCCTTACAGTTTGATCTAAGATTTCACTTTATTCCCTATAGTTTCAATTTGAACAATTGGGTCCTTCACTGAAGTCTAATTTCAATTAGGTCTTTCCGTTTAATTGAAAGTTAAAATTAACAATTTTTGGACACTTGTCACTTTAAGTCTAGTTTCAATTTGGTCCTTCCATCTAAATTGAAAGTTAAAATAGTTAAAATTCAATGTATAAAGAGAAATAGAGAGAGAATAAATTGTATGTATTATTGATTGATGTATGTTGTCTATTACAAATGGTGAGGGGCTCCTTATATAGGAGATGTAGTGGAGTAGGTGGAGTAGATGGTAGTGGTAGGTGTGTAGTAGGTGGTAGTAGGTGGTGGTAGGTGTAGTAGGTGGAGTAGGTGATGGTAGGTTTTAACAGCCCCCCGCAAACTCAAGGGGGGTAGGAACTAACCAACTTGAGTTTGGAGAGAGTAACAAAACAAGAAAATAGTCTAATACATAAAATAAAAGAGGATAGGAGACACTGTATGGTCGTGTCAGACCGTTGGTGAAGACACTGGATGGTTGTGTCATAACGTTGTAGAGGACACTGGATGGTTGTGTCATAACGTTGTAGAGGACACTGGATGGTTGTGGCAGACCGTGGTAAAAGCTAACCGAAATCAAATGTCGGGAGCAGTTTATGGGGTCATGTCGGACCGTTGTAGAAGACACTATATGAGTGTGTATATAGGCTGCCCAAAAGAGATACATGTAGATATATATATCGAGCCCTCAAAAGTCGCGCCCTCAAAAGGCGTGCCCACTTCATCAAAAGACGTGCCCGACAGAAAGCGTCGAGCCATCAAAAGGGGCGCCGGACACGCGGCGATGCACGTGATCGACAGAGCGTGTGTCGGCCTCGTCGTCTTTGTCTTTATAAACCAAAGCGAAGTCTGAGGCTTGGAAGCATAACAAACCAGTTGAAACCTCTTCGTTCTCTGTAACATCTGAAACATCTGTAACAGCCGAAACACTCAGCAACCCATAATGTGGCCTCTTCTTCCCGTGGTCTGCTCACTCTCTTTCCAGACCTCAACGAGTCCACAAGAGAGATAACTGGTGCGGTTGCCCTTGAACCTCAACCAAGCGCCCCTGAGTTTGCGCCGTTGACCTTTCCTATGCGGTCTGTGGAGCAAAGAATGACAGCACAAACAGATACTGAGGCTAATCAGTATACATTGAAGTCATGTGTGGAGACCATGACGGCGGTCACAAACTTGTCGCACCGGCTTCAGAGTAGGACAAATGAGGTGCAGCAGTTAAACGCCCAACTGGCTCTGCTCCAGCGCATGTATAAGGATGCGCGAGCAGAAATATGTGTACTGAAGGCGGAAAACAAGGAGCTGAAGCGGAAGGCCACCGTTATGTTCCGATTTGGAGGTCCACCATATGCTGCAGTGGAGGAGCAGGAGGGAGTGAACGTGCTCGGCGGCGCGGGAAACACAGAGGCAGCACCGTCAAGGGCCGTCCAAGACGGAGGCAAGAAGAAGAGACCGGCGGCAGAGTAGAGAAGAAAAAACCCGCTTAAGGAAACTATGTTTGTTTGGTTTTTTTTTTTTTTTTTTTTGTGTAAAATTCTGATCGGGGTTGATCCCCGACATGAAGAAATGACAAGTTTGTGGAATGGTTTTAGTGTTATTTTGTGTTGTTTTGTTTAATAAAAATAAAATAAAATAAAAAAATAGAGGAAAAAAATATTTTTGGATGGGTTATTTGAAAAAGATCGGTGTGAGGTGGATGACGAAGGGAACATGGATGTTTTCAAAATAAAGTTGGGGGTAGTGCCCTGCAAAAGATATATTATTATAGAGTGGATATTTGAAAGAGATTAAAAATGGTTTTGAGAAAATAAATAAAAATAATTGATTTTGAAATCAAACGGAGGAGAGAGAGGGGACAAGCCCATGTGATAAAGTGGAGAGAGAGGGTGTTGGGTTTGGAAAGAAATAGATAAAAAGTGGAGCATCTCTGCTGTGCTACCCCATCATCAGTCTCACATAATAAAGGAGGAGAGAGAAAGTGGGTATTGAAATTGGGGGAAGTGAGACCAACTAAGGTTTATAATAATGAAAATAAAAGTTGGGCGGTGGATCAGTGTGATTAAAAAAGAAAAGGAAGGAGGATTGGTATCCGTGTAGGTTTATCAAAGACAGCGGTGGCAGATAGCTTCATGCCACTGCCACAGTGACCAACGACACCACATATGAAGTAACGAGTCCTAGTGGCCTTGAGAGGAATGCTGGTGGACCCACTACTGAACGGCATAATCATCTTGCTCTTCTCTTGTTACTTTATGTTGTTCTGCACATAATTCAGCACAAACTCCCATTCCATAATCGTTATAAACATCCCACAATCCATCTTTCAACATACCATCAACAAGAGAATCATGTCCAAGTCGAGATCCCTTCCTTGCTTCCGCTAGGTATTTAGGGACATTGGACATGCTTTCCATGCCGCCAGCTACAACAACATCATTGATGCCCAACTGGATACTCTGTGCTGCAAGCATAGTTGCTTTCATCCCTGATGCACAAACTTTGTTAATGGTGGTACAAACCACTGAATTAGGTATTCCTGCACCTAATGCCGCTTGCCTAGCCGGAGCCTGCCCCAAATTGGCACTGAGGACGTTCCCAAAGAAAACTTCTTGGACAAGTGACGGATCAACATGAGCCCTTTTAAGAGCACTGCCAATAGCTATAGATCCGAGCTTAGTGGCTGGTAAAGATGAAAGAGAACCAAGAAATCCACCCATTGGTGTACGCGCAACACCCACAATACAAACATCTCTAGGCTTTACAGAATCTGCAGATGCTGTTGCTGCTGCTGGAGCCATGATGATATATGTAAATGAATATCTGAGAGAGAGTTGAATCCCCACAGCAGTACAGAGAGAGATTTGCATTGGGTGTGTGTGTCCAGCCGTTGATCAGATTGAAGGGACTGCAGCGACGGGTTAAGGTCAACAGTGGTGATAGACGAAGACGACCGAGACGGTGGTGTGTTTGGGTTGACAGGGTGAGTCAAGGACAGCGACTCGAAGGAGTTGGGCATGAAGGTGGTGGACTCGAAGAAATTTCAAGATATGTGTAGAAAATTCTAGCGGACTAGGTTGAGGTCCGGCGGGCGGCCAAGGCGAGGTTGCCGCCCGCTGGTGAAGCGAAAAATACTAAGTGCTTAACCTTGCTCTGATACCAAGTTAAAATTCAATGTATAAAGAGAAATAGAGAGAATAAATTGTATGTATTATTGATTGATGTATGTTGTCTATTACAAATGGTGAGGGGCTCCTTATATAGGAGATGTAGTGGAGTAGGTGGAGTAGGTGGTAGTGGTAAGTGTGTAGTAGGTGGTAGTAGGTGGTGGTAGGTGTAGTAGGTGGAGTAGGTGATGGTAGGTTTTAACAAAAATTAACAGTTGTAGGATACTTGTCAATTTTCTAAGGTGTATACGTAGACAAAATTAACAAAAATTTAAACAAAAAAACCAAATTGAAACTAGAGTTTTAAGTGTAGAGATCAAATTATTCAAATTGAAACTATAGGCATTAAAATGAAATTTGGGTCAAATTACATAAGTGAAAAGTACAATTAACCTGCATTAATTTTACCCTTGAACTTTGGTTGTTGCTTGAAAGTAGTATAATTGATAATTGGTTGCATTTTTTGACCCTGGATTTGTTCTTCTAAGTTCTTCACAGCAATTCCACACCTTTTCATAGTGTTCTTGATGACTGCATCTGTGCTTTCCTCTTGGCTCTATAAAGTTGACTCCTCAACACCCCAACTTTGTGATCCATCTGCTCAACTCCTTTATCATAGTAGGATTAACTATCAATGAAACATGGAAGTCAAAAGTATATAATTTAAAAACTTGATAAAAGACAGTTTTAATCTTTAAAGTACAAATTCATTGCCATTTTAGTCCGTTAATTTTAATTTTATCATTTTGGTTCTCAAAAGTTGTCAATTTGAATTAGATTGGTCCAATTCCAAACGGTTGTTTGAATCGTTAATAAAATAATTATAAATTTCAACTTGGGTCACTAAAGTATATGTTGTGTCATTTTAGTCCCTAAAGTATCAATTTTGTCAATTTCATCCTTCAATATTGTAAGGTTATATTTCATTTTCTTCATCAATGTTTCAAGACCAAATTGACAAACCAAAGTACACAAAACACATACTTTAAGAATCATGTGTGCATTTTATTACTATTCTGTTAACTATTTAGATGGTCCGTTTATAATTGGACCAAATTGACTCAAATTTAAATTTTAAGGACGGAATTGACAAAATTGAAACTTGAAAGACCAAAATGACAAGAAATGCATATTTTAAGGACTATAAATGTATTTTATCCTTACAAAGATTGGACAAACTATGAAAAAGAAATTAGTTTTGACAATGAGTCTCAGTAACAAGCCCTTGCCTGCAAAGAAAAAATGAAAGTGGGGGAAAAATTAGCAAGTTACTTTTTTTTTTTTTTGAACGGAGAGTTAGCAAATTACTTGATCACACTTATTAAAAAAAATATTGCTTGGGGTTCAAATGTCAATTTTTATCATGGAAAATGCTAATCATATTCATTTATGAAACATCACAAGAATAATGTGACAAAGCTATTTTGATAAATAAATGCCATTTTTGCTGGTGTTTTGTTTTAAAGTAAATGGTTTATCCTAAGCCACATCATCAAAATTATGTATCAAAATTATCTATGAATTTTTTGTTTGTAAATCATTACCCTTCTAGCATAAATGAATTTAAATCATCAAAATTATATATAGAAATTATTTATGAATTTTTTGTTTGTATATCATTACTCTTCGAGCATAAATGTTTTTAATGATATGAAAAAGTGTCTATAAATTGTAAGTTTTAGCGACAATTTATAAAAATCAAGATAAAAACAAACGTCACTAATTGTCAAGTTTTAGCAGCACATGCAAAAAATAGCCAAAAAAATTATTTTTAGCGATGATTTTACTAAGACAAACTTTCAATAGGACTTAATAAGAATTAAGTCTAACTATTAGGACCTATTGGTAGTTTACCCGATTTATTTTCCTTATTTTTTGAGATAACAAAGTATTAATTAAATAATCAAACCAAACCAAACCAAACCAAGCCAAGCCTTAAGTCCCATCGAATAGGGTCGACTGTATGAATCCTTCTTCTCCACTCGACTCTATCTTAAGCTATTTCGTTAGCCAAATTAAGGAGATTCATATCTCTATTTAATTTTTCTAATATATTCAGGGGTCTAATTGATATTAGGAGATAGTTTAGGAGGGGAAATAAAATTTTAGATAAAGTTTCGATGCCACGTTAGCAAATTCCATCTGATTTAGACGGCAGCTAAAGGTAGAGGTCAAATTGATCTAAAATTAATATAATTAAAAGGACATTAGTTAAATTGACTATTAAGTGATAGTTTGAAGCAAAATGAAATTTCTTTAAAACTTCAACAAAAGCAACCGAAAAAAAAAAAGAAGTGTCTAAAGTAGTTATTTCTAGATTTCCACACAAACTCTTTTTCTTCTATTTTTCAGTATAATATTTGGTCTGTTCAACATTCATGTAGCTAGGTTCTTTCCAAAAACTTCCCCAAAGCTAAAGATCCAAGATAAGGGGATTAGTTTTTCTTCACTAATTAAGACACAAAGAACTTAACCTCAGCGTGTGGAACGGACTCAAGTCGACCATCATTTTACCTTAAAAAAAATTACATATATGGGACCTAATTACAAAGACTTCCAAGTTCAAAGTCTATATAGCATGAATAATATGGGAACCAGTAGAAAATTTGTGTATAAATTAGAGCCTTTAACACCCATTAGTTAAAGGGAAAAAAAAGAAAAAAGAAAGGCAATGGGACCTTTAGAGAAACTATTCAGCCTTTTTTCCTTAGTCCTGTTTGTTGCACTCTTTTCTTCAACCATTGATGTTGCTTCTGCTTCTGCTGAAGAAGCTAATGTCAGTCCCTGCAATTGGTTTGGAGTTTCTTTCAACCTTGATGGAAGCGTCATTAGATTGAACCTCACAAGTTCAAGTGTAAATGGTACGTCCAACAACTTTTCATTTTCATTGTTTCCCAATCTTACATATATTGAGCTTAGCATCAATAAATTCTTTGGTGTTCTCCAAACTCATCTATCTTGATTTGTCCAACCAATTCTCAGGAAACATCCCCCCAGAAATCTGCCTGCTAACAAATCTTGAAACTCTCCACTTGTTCGATAATCAGTTGAACGGCTCAATTCCTCAAAAGATAGGCCAGTTAAAGTCTCTAATTGAGCTTGTTTTGTACACCAACAGTCTTTCAGGTCCCATTCCTACTTCTTTAGCCAATTTGAGAAACTTGACTCGTCTATATCTCTATAGAAATAATCTTTCTGGTTCCATTCCTCCCGAAATGGGAGACCTAGTCAATCTTGTTGAGCTCTACACGAATGGCAACAATCTCACAGGTCTTATTCCTTCCACATTGGGAAACTTGAATAACCTAACTGTGTTGCACTTGTTCAACAATTCCCTATCTGGTTCCATGCCCCAAGAGATAGGACAGTTGAAATCGCTCCAGAGCCTAACCTTTCAAACCAACAATCTTACTGGCTCAATCCCAACATCTTTAGGTGATTTGAGCTCCCTAGCTCGACTATACCTCTAGAATAATCAACTCTTTGGTCCAATTCCTAAAGAATTGCGGAACTTGAAGTCCCTCATTTATCTGGAATTGAGTTCAAATCAATTTAGTGGTCCCATTCCAGTTTCCTTAAGTGATTTGACCAATTTAGAAATTCTAAACCTCCATTCCAACCGACTATCCAACCGCATTCCATAGGAATTTGGCAATTTGAAAAGATTGGTTGAGCTGGTAATGGATGAAAATCAATTTTCTGGCAATCTCCTAGAGCTTTGCCAAGGTGGTAAACTTCATTACTTCACAATGCACCACAATCAGCTCACAAGCACAATCCCTAAAAGTCTGAGAAACTGCTCAAGCTTAGTCACAGCTCGCTTTGAGGGAAACCAACTTATTGGAAATATATTTGAAGATTTTGGCACTAATCCAAACCTGGTCTACCTAGATCTCAGTAACAATAATTTTTATGGTGAATTCTCAGAAAATTGGGGAATATTCCCAAATTTGACACTCATAACAATAGCAAGAAATAACATCACTGTTGGCATTCCACTAGGGTTTGAAAAGTTAACATGGCTACAACAACTTGATTTATTTTCAAATCATTTCGTTGGGTAGATCCCAAAGGAATTTGGAAAGTTGACATCTTTGGAGTGGCTAATTTTGGCTTAAAATCAGCTTTCGGGTTGGATACCTCAAGAACTCAAATCACTAAGTAAGTTGTCAAACCTTGATCTATCCACAAACAAATTTAGTGGGCCAATACTAGGTATTTTGGAGAACTACTTTGTTTTACTTGAATCTGAGCAACAACATGTTCAACCAAAAAATTCCATTACAGATTGGTAAGTTATTTCAACTGACCGAGATGGATCGAAGTAGTAACATTCTCATAGAGGAAATGCCATCGGAAATCACAAATTTCCAGAGCTTGGAGAAGTTGAACCACTCCTACAATATTCCAAAGAGTTCTGAAGATATGCGTGGCTAGGCGTATGTTGGTATATCATACAATGAGTTGCAAGGTTCTATTCTCATGAGCAACACTTTCATGAATGCATTAATAGAAGCACTGCAAGGGAACAAATGTGTGGAAATGTCACAGGTTTGTAGCCTTGCAAAATTCCTTCTGCATTGGATACACACTCTAGACAAAAGGGCACTTGTTCTTATAATTGTGCTCCCTCTTGGTGTAGCGCTCTTACTTCTAGGTGCATTCATCGGACTTCTCGCCGTCTTCTATCCAAGAAAGAGAAAGTCACAAGTTAAAGAGGGTGACACCCAACCCTTGAGTGAAGATTTGTTATCGATATCAATATTCAATGGAAGAGCAATACCAAGAATTTCAATGCTAAATATTGCATTGGAAAAGGAGGATATGGAACTGTCTATAAAGCGAAGTTACCGTCGGCTAGCTGTGAAGAAACTTCATCTGTTATCCGAGAGGGCTGATTGGAAAGATTTCTTGAATGAGGTAAGAGCATTGATAGAAATTAAGCATCGAAACATAGTGAAGCTTTTTGGGTTTTGTTCGCATGTTCGACACTCTTTTCTAGTTTATAAGTACCTCGAAAGAGGTAGTTTGGCTGCAATTTTCAACAAAGATGATGAAGCTAAAGAATTGGATTGGCCTAAGAGGGTGAATATTATTAAGGGTGTAGCAAGCGCTTTGTCATACATGCACCATGATTGCACACTGGCCATTGTTCGCCGAGACATTTCTAGCAACAATGTCTTGATTGATGAGGAGTACGAGGCTCGTGTTTCAGACTTTGGCACTTTCAAGCTTTTGAAGCTAGATTCCTCTAACTGGAGTGCATTTGCAAGCACATACAGATATGTTGCACAAGGTAAACATAGTTTTAAGATCTCCTAAATTGATATAGAATCTGAAGTGTAACAAAACAAGTGCATGATCATGCCTTTTTTTTTTTTTTTTTTTTTTTTTTTGTACAAAAGAGATGTCATTTTTTTTTTTTTTTTTTGCAAAGCTTTCTTGCACAATGAATGAAGCTAACTCAAAAGTGTGACATTTATAGGTTTGGGGCGTTGGCACTGGCAGTGATCAAAGGAAAGCATCCGAGAGACTTTTTGATAAATAAATAAAATTTATTGAAAAAGTATAAAGATGATGCAAAGAATACAAAAATCCCAAATATAGGGAAGCTAAAACTCCTAACCAAGAACCTTATCCAAACAATCTATGAAAACAAATAAATCCGGATCCACTATTTTCTCCAAGCAACTACACAAAGTAAGCAACAACCGATTCTCAAGCCATGACACCGAATGGCCAATCTCTTAAAACGTGCGCCGATTCCTCTCCAACCAAACCAACCACATCAAACAAAACGACACCACCAACCAAATTCGCCGATGTCGACGCCCAACCCGAGCACCCCACCAACTCCACAACAACTGGGCTTTCATATCTTGATTTGTCCACAAATAGATTCAATGGGTCAATACCGGGTATTCTGGAGAATTATCTGAATCTGTTTCACTTGAACTTGAGCAACAACATGTTTAGCCAGAGAATTCCATTTCAGATGGGTAAGTTATTTCACCTTACCGAAATGGATTTGAGTAATAATTTTCTTATAGGAGAAATACCATCGGAACTCACAAATTTGCAGAGCTTGGAGAATTTAAACCTCTCCCACAATAATCTCTCTGGTCTCATTCCAAAGGGTTTTGAAGATATGAAGGGCTTGGCATTTATTGATATATCATACAATCAGTTGCAAGGTCCGATTCCCATGAGCAACGCCTTCATGAATGCATCAATAGAAGCATTGCAAGGGAACAAAGGTTTTTGTGGAAATGTCAAAGGCCTGCAGCCTTGCAAAGTTCCTTCTGCATTACACAAACACACTCTAGAAAAAAGGACACTTGTTCTTGTAATCGTGCTCCCTCTTAGTGGAGCACTCTTACTTCTAGGTGCATTCATTGGACTTCTCATCATGTTCAATTCAAGAAAGGCAAAGTCATAAGTTGAATAGGGTGACACCCAACCCCCAAGAGAAGATTTGTTATCGATATCAATATTCGATGGAAGAGCAATACCAAGAATTTCAATGCTAAATATTGCATTGGAAAAGGAGGATATGGAACTGTCTACAAAGCGAAGTTACCGTCGGCTAGCTGTGAAGAAACTTCATATGTTATCCGAGAGGGCTGATTGGAAAGATTTCTTAAATGAGGTAAGAGCATTGATAGAAATTAAGCATCGAAACATAGTGAAGCTTTTTGGGTTTTGTTCGCATGTTCGACACTCTTTTCTAGTGGCCGGCAATATACATTGCCGGTGGCAGCAAAAACCAGCCGGTGGCCTCTAGCCACTGCCGGTGGTGTATGGGGATGCCTCACAAGGCATTCCCTGCCCTTCCAAGGCAAAACACAAGTGTTTGGTGTGAAACCAAACACTAAACAGTTGAGTCCGGAGATCCTGAGGCAAGGCGCGCGAGCCGAGGCCTCCGGGAACTCCAAACGAACACAATCATGGATAATCACCGAGTGTTCAAACGGTGACGTCCAAGTCTTGAGGACAGTCAAAAATGGGGTGTCTACACTCGTGTTTTGGACTTTGGCACTACCAAGCTTTTGAAGCTAGATTCCTTTAACTGGAGTGCATTTGCAGGCACATACGGATATGTTGCACCAGGTAAACATAGTTTTATGCTCTCCTAAATTGACATAGAATCCGAAGCATAACAAAACAAGTGCATTACCATGTCTCTCTTTTTTTGCAAAGCTTGCTTGCACAATGAATGAAGATAACTCAAAAGTGTGACATTTATAGCTTTGGGGTGTTGGCACTGGCAGTGATCAAAGGAAAGCATCCGAGAGACTTTTTGATAAATAAATAAAATTTATTGAAAAAGTATAAAGATGATGCAAAGAATACAAAAATCCCAAATATAGGGAAGCTAAAACTCCTAACCAAGAACCTTATCCAAACAATCTATGAAAACAAATAAATCCGGATCCACTATTTTCTCCAAGCAACTACACAAAGTAAGCAACAACCGATTCTCAAGCCATGACACCGAATGGCCAATCTCTTAAAACGTGCGCCGATTCCTCTCCAACCAAACCAACCACATCAAACAAAACGACACCACCAACCAAATTCGCCGATGTCGACGCCCAACCCGAGCACCCCACCAACTCCACAACAACTCCAACACCCCCCTTGGCTACACCCAAACAAAGACCAAACCAGCCCCTAGAGCCGTGATGCTACATCACAATGAAGAAACAAATGATCCACCGACTCTGCATCTGCACAACACATACAATATCGATTCACTAGGACATGTCCTCGACAAACCAAGTTGTCAATAGTCATGTTCTATCCCAAGGTAACCGTCCACAAAAAGAACACTACCTTAGACGGAATACCCAGCACCCAAATGCTCCTCCAAGGAAATACCCTGTCACTGCCCCCACCAAACTCCGATTAAAGGACGAAGCAAAAAATTGTCCTTTAGTACCAGACACCTCCCACACAACCACATCCTCCCCCCTACCCACTGGGCCCAACCCATATAAGAACCCCAACATCTCCTCCAATTGAGCAACTTCCCAATCCTGAACTGGCCACTGCAATTGAATATTGTGGGTATCTATACTATACTTGGCACGTGGCGAGCCCTACGGGCATCAGGTCAGCACCACTATACATCCACGTGGCAAACCCCTGAGGCACCATGATGAGTCGAGACTGTATGCCTAGCCGAAGCGGGGGCATGCACACCACCAAGTATGAAATAAGGCCACATGGAGCCGGCTCACTTAGAACTCGTCATGGCCCTTCATAGCCCTTCATAACTCAAGAAATATATTCTCTACCCACTCACCCAAACTCCATAGCAACATAGCCGGACTCTTGGCCCACCTATGTTCGGTTCACCTATGTTTACTTAGCTACTGAGATGAGCCCTTGGCTCACCCATGCAGTCACCCTCTTGACTGCCTAGGTCAGGAGCAGGACCTAGGCACTCCCGCTTGGGATCATTGGAGGATTGTGGATTGGAAGCTAAGACCTCGGGATCGTCAAGGTCGTGTAGCTATCTCCCTGCAGTGATAGCTCCCTCTTTGACCTGGCTTAGAAAAAGAGACGTTGACCTTACACTTACATCTAATGCACATATGATACACCTCTCAAGATATCATACCTACCTTTGCAGTTCCTATGATGCAACCTTCCCGAGAACTTGAATCATAAGACACAGCTAATAGGGCTGATATCACCCTCTTGTCGAGTTAAGGAGAACTTGCCACCTGTCTTGAGGTTGCTTGGGCTCCAATACTCCTAGAGTCTATCTAACGGCATCATAAGTGCAGCCACAAACACACAGCAAGAGCGATAAGAATCACATAACATACATTAAGTGTTCAGGGTCTCTCACTGCCACCTCTTTCCTCTCTAAGCTTGCCTTGGTCTTCTCATCTTCCGCCTCCGGTGATCTCAAGTCATTGAAGTGCCTACCATCTTCCCAGAGGTCAACAACCAATCACCTCTAATCTCTATCACTCACAAATATCCCAAACCACCACCTCTTCATTCCCTAAACAATCCGCAACAGTCACCTCTTGATCCACCGCAATCCCGAAAAACAATGGGAAAGTACCTCCAACACCACATCCCCACACCGCCCTATCCTTCCAAAATATAATCCTCTCCCCACTCCAAGAGACTTCATGACCTCCCTGTTGACCCCAACTATTGGGAACATACAGTTAAAGGATGTGTTGGATCAACACCTTTCACCTCCCTTCCCTGAAGTTGAAGAGGTAGTGATGTGCAGTGTAAAATAGGCAATTGCATGTTTGTATGTCAATCCACAATCTAGGCCAACCATGCACATTGTTTCTCAATTGTTATCCACCCGAAAAATTCCGTAGAGCCTCACCTATGTGCACAAAATTGCTGCCCATGAAATGCACAGAATTGATCGCTTTCTATTCTGCATATTTTTCCGTGCACTAATTTTGTGCACTTGGCAAAACTCAAGCTTCAAACTTGTGCACTGATAGTGCAAAACTATTTTGTTTAGTTAGGATATGTTAGATATTAGATAAAACCTATGCAGCATGGACATGTCTCTGGAGGTTGCATACAGGTGTCATACACGTGTCGGACATATGCCGAACACGCTCCGAACACGTGTCGGACATGCTGGAAAGAGTTGGATACGCTGGGACACTTTGGACACGCTACAAACACGTTGGGGCACGGTGAGGACACGCTAGGGACACTCTAAGGACACGCTGAGTACTATTTTTTATTAAAAAAAAATTACAATTTTTAATTTTTTTTAGTAAAATAGCATACCTAAGGCTGATAAATTTAGTAAAATTAAATATTTGACATAAAATACATATCAAATATTTAAATATATATGTATATATATAATAAAAATATAAAAATATATGTTTTGAACGTGTCCCCAAAGTGTCATGTCCTACATTTTTTTAAAAATTACGTGTCCGCATGGCCGTGTCATGCCACATGCCCGTGGTGCTTCTTAAGATAAAATCCAATCCTCTCTAGTATCTATTAAATATACATTTTATATAGAGGTTTTTATCGTAAAAATAAATATTGAGTGAAAATTAATAAAAAGAGAGATGTAGCCTTGGGGCTTTTGTGTGCCGTGGGTGTATGGTAGTAGCAAAACCACACACACATGATGTGGCTTCTCTCTTTACTGTCATCTTATTTATTTTATTTTGCTTTGTTTTTTTTTATTTTTCTTGAATATAAACCTTGTAGAACCAAAAATTGTTGGATTCTTTTATATTGATATGAAGAGGCAATGTTGCTGGGATGCTATTTTCCATTGAATAAATTACGTGTAAATTACCAAA